TGATTGTGACTCCTCTAACTGTGAATGTGATGTGAATGATGCAAAAGTGAGGAGAGAGAGCGAATGAAAACAAAGAAAACAAACCAAGAATAGAACTTATCTGGGCGTTTACTACTTACCAAATCTAAAGTATCCCCTCAAAGTTCATTCAAGGAAACATCTTGAAAGACTCTCTAAAGAAGAAATTTTTAAACCATATCTCACAACTCAACAATTCACTCACAAAGACCATGTCTAGTCTTCTCCCACAAGCAAACAAAAATGGATTCCTAAGGCTGATTTCACCAAAACACAATCATTATCTGAGAAGGCTGTTGACCTCGGATCACAGCTAAAAATCAAACTTAAAAAGATCTTTCGCATTGATAAGGAAGGACCAATCCTGAGGTGGGTACCTAAAACTCCTTGATTATTTTGCAGGTCGGTCATGTGTGGCACTTAGATTCAGGATGCTCAACCCACATGACCGGATAAAACACCTATTGAGCAACTACACCAACTGCTATAGAGGAAATGTCAGATTCGGGAATGATGCCTCATCTCCTATTCTTGGATATGGAGATGTCATCTGCCCGAGTGTCACTATAAAGGTTGTATCTTATGTCAAAGGGCTCAAACATAATCTCCCGAGCATCGTACAATTCTGTGACAGTGGAATGGAAGTGAAGTTTAAGTCAAAACAATGTTGCGTGATGGACATCATTGGAAATCAAAGTTTAAGTCTATGCACAATCTCATAGACCCGTCTTTCTTCTTCACAAACAACACAGGAGCTCCCCAAGGAGAAAAACTGGGACGAATGAAGCCTTTCTCAAGTAACTCCTGTAATTGCTTATACAACTCCTTCAACTCTGTTGGCGCCATACGATAAGGTGCCTTGGATATCAGGCGTGTACCCGGTATGAGCTCAATCTCAAATTCTATCTCCCTCGGTGGAGGTAACCCAGGAAGATCCTCCGGAAACACATCCCGAAACTCATTAACAATAGCTATTGTTTCCATTTTGGACTCATTCTCTGCAGGTTTACTCACCACGTGAGCTAAAAATGCTTGACACCCACTTCTAAGATATTTTCTTGCCTTCACCATAGTGATTACCATCTTCTCTAGTCCCCGTGAATCTCCACGGAAATTGAAAGGTTCTGCACCATCTTGTTCAAACCGTACATTCCTGGATCGACAACTGATGTAGGCAGAATATTTACTGTGGAAATCCATTCCCAAAATTACATCAAAATCATTCATATCCAGCACTATCAAATCCGCATACAACTCTCTTCCAGCTAGCAATAATGGTACACCTCTCAGCCACAGACTTAACCACATGGTCTCCCCGGACGGAAGGAACACCGAAAAGCTATACCCTGGTTCTTCTTTAGGCCTCTCAATGTTATTTTCAAATGTTTTGGAAACAAAGGAATGTGTTGCCCCGGTATCAAATAACACATTAGCATTCATATTTATAATGGAAACTTGACCATAACCACATTTGGATTCTGAGATGCCTCTTCTCTCGTCAGCGTGAAAACTCTTGCTGTGGTGACTTCTGATGGTGCCTCCAACCTCCCTTGTTGAATGGAAGGACCCTCAATGAATCCCTGCATATGGTGGATTTCCCCAGAACTGACCATGCCTTTGCCACTTGTGGGCTATGATTGTCCCTTTCGTGGACATGCCCTAGCAAAGTGACCCTCCTGACCGCATAGATAACAAGTCGTACCTCCATATCGACACTGCCCAGGATGGTTACGGCCACACTTGTTGTATAATGGATATTGTACAATCCTCTCTTGGCGGAATGGAGTGAAACTGGATCCCTTTCCCTTGTGTTCAGTGTACGACCTCTTCTTGTTCCTTTGCCATCCTTGTGAACTACAGGGGTTACGAGTTGGCAGATGTTGAAACCCTGCTGGGGTCACAACACCTGGTTGTGTGGCTGTCATATAGTATTCGACTTGGGTAGCCACGTTGACACACTCTGTTAATGTGTCAGGATTCGTGTTGCCCCTCCTGACATGGACAGCTATCTCTGGCCTTAATGCCCTCAGGAATATTCGGGTCTTATCTGCTTCGGTGGGAGCTGCGGTGGGGCATAGCTGTAAGAGATCTGCAAGTTTCGTTGATAGTGCCAACACATCCAACGACCCCTGTGTGAGGCTATGAAGCTCATCCCAATATCTGGTCATCCTGCTAGGGTTCAAGTATTTGTCGTTGAACTCATATGAGAATTGCTCTCATGTCATGGTCGTGGTGTTGACTCTCTGATTCACTGTCTCCAACCAGGTCCTTGCACTCTTCGTTAAGCTGTAGGATGCACACCTGACCTTCTCGTTCTCCCTCAATTCTAGTCCTTCTGCTAGGCCCTCCACTTTCTTCAACCAGTCCCGAGCTTTGAGGGGATCAGCCCCACCCTCAAACTCTTCTGGGTGTGCCTTCTTCCATGTGATCAACAATGGCTCTCGTCAGATCACTTCGTTCCATCCTGCTTCCTGTTGATCATTTCCTCCCCCACCGTCACGGTGCTCATTCTCATGTTGGTGGTTGTTATTATTGTTTCTACTACCTGTCTCTACTGTTAGACGCGAAATGACAATGTTTTGATCATGAATTTGTCTATGAAGTTCCGCTACAACACGAGCAAGCTCCGCATTACTGATTGATGAACCATCCTCGTTACCTTGGCCCTGTCGTGACATTCTGTGTGAGAGATTTAATTTAACAACTAATGAATCCACCCACACACACATAAATTTTCAACATTAATACGTAGTTCACTTATATGAAATTATCGTTATTCTTAAATAACCAAAATTACTAACTTACCTGAGAGATGTCGAGCGGTACGTGGCAATGGATGGAGTTACAGAAGGACTTGGGCTCTGATACCAAACTGTAACGACCGTCCCGAAACGACCATTACCATACTTAACATAAACAAGACTCAATATACAAAGCAAAATATAACAGAATACAAAGTCTCGTCATGAAACTTTATTTCTTATATATATAAGAAAACTCCATGACTGAAATGTCAAAAGACCAACAACAATCACGCTTAAAACAAAGTCATCACACCTGATCAGGATTTTTAAAACAAAACAGAAAACATCTCATAAAAGTGTCATAGTAAAACAACAAAACATGAGACACAGCCAGGTCATTTCTGTTAACCCATCCACAGCCTCACCACCCGGCCCGAATATTCTCTCAGGCTTCCATTCTTCATTCATTACCAATACATGAGACACAAGAGAACCGAAGTCTCGTAAACAAAATTTTCTTAGTAAGTCACCATTACATCCACTAAAATAACGGAGTCTTAGCTAGCCATAATTAGATACATAAGCTAGAATACTCCACACATAGCATATTCACACACATATTCATATCATGTAAAGTACAACTTCACGTAAGGAAATCTAAAAGATTTTCTCATTCATCATTCTTTCTTCCTATCTTGCTACTTGACTTAATGGGCCCGTAGCTCGTGTCCTGGCCCCTCGCTAATGACCTTGGGTAGCTAGCCCGCAGCCATCAGAAGTAATCCCGAGACTCCCCGCGGAAGGAGATCCCGCTCTGTTCAGCTCAGGTAATTACTTGGGGGAACGACTACCTTAGAACATTTCTTATCATTCATTAGATATCATTATCATCACAACTTTCATTCATTGTTGGATTCCATATAAATCCAACCTAACCATAAACATAGAACTTGGATACCTTACACTGATAACTCAACAAGTTCTCAATCAACATCACCTACAAGCATATATACATAACAGGGCATTCACATAATCTTATACCATAAAAATTCAAGTGTTCAAGCAAATCTATCCAATTCATAGACAACTAGACTTCCATGTTTCATTTCAAACTATCATGTATAGGTGGTGATGACTTACCTGATTCACGTGGAGTTTTTACCCTTGATCGTGCGTATAAAGCGTCCACGGGCAACGGTTCTTTGATTGAGCAACTATATACATTGTTTACATTTGATCAACAAAACCTCATGTTTTTAACCAAAACCTTAAAACTTAGGCATAAGGGGAATTCAACAAACAACCAGCTCCCGAACATGATAGACTTCTAAAACTCCTAATCTCAACCGGTCAAATTTTCGGGTAACTAGACAACCAACTCCCGATCGCACTTCATACTCAAGAGTCAACAATAACTAACAAATAATCATACTATCAAGAGTTCTACACATCTAATTAAAATCAGTTTATATATATTAAAAGATTCCCCAAATTCCTTCATGAAATTGACATAGTTTTGATATAGCTAGTTATTCAAGAATAGACTTAAAACTTCTTAAGCCAAGGATAAAAAACCACTATACAACCTTCCTATCATCCATAATTTCATTCTTTTCTTAGAATCAACCCAAAACTCACTCAACCCTAGTATAATCTCAAAACAAGAACTATGAATTGAACATAGAATAAATACTTCATGTAGAGTGTAAATCTTACCAATTTAATGATTCTTGATGAAAGATTATGTTAAACTTGAGCTTCAATCATTTTGGAAAAGGTCTGGGATTGATTTGTAGAGAGAGGGGTGCGTAGGGATCGAATTTGTGTTGAAAAGGGGTTTTCTTCGCTAAAAAACGCTATATGACCGACCTGCCAAAACCGACCGAACCGGCGCCGGTTTGCCCCTGACCGGCGCCGGTTGCCCAGCACTCCAACACCTTCAAGTTTCTGTTTTGAACCGGCGCCGGTTTGGCCCCAACCGGCACCGGTCCGGCACCCCCCGGGTGCTGAAAACGCCCTTTTTCGCCCTAAACTGACCCCGATTGTTTCCAATCCCATCCTAGACCCCCGATGACATTTTAAACTATATTTTAAACACCCGAATACTATCTAACATAACAACTAACTTGATATATCATTCCTTTTGAAGTAAAATGACTATTATAGTATATTTTCGTTGCTCATCGGATACTGTCACCTGTCACGTTCAAACATAATACAAACATGTGAATTCAAATATGATTATCACAAAGTTCATATTCACATATATAACATTTAAACCACAAGTTAAAACATGATCATAATGAAAATGATTAACACATAAGAAATAGATAAAATTATGGGCATTACAGGCTTCAAACATAATAATAAATAGCATTGGAGAAAGAGGGTCCCCTTGCTTGACTCCCCTTTTCAGCCCAAATTCGATCCCTACGCACCCCTCCCTCTATTTATATATTCACCATAACCGAAATATAAGTAGCCTTCAAGTTCCCCATAATCAACTCCCTGATCTTCTTATTAAACCCAAACCTCCTCGAAACAGCCTCTAGAAAACCCCAGTCAACTCGATCAAAGGCTTTAGTCATATCTATTTTAACCACAATATTAGAGGCTCGAAACTTCTTATCCAGATTATGAAGCATCTCCATAGCCACCAGAACTTGATGTTTAATTTCTCGTCCTTTCATAAAGCCTGATTGTTCATTAGAATTGATTTTAGGCAAATAAGAAGCTAACCTGCTAGCTATAATGCGAGTATTAACCTTACTAATGAAGGTGTAAAGACAAATAGGCCTAAAATTCCCAAATGAAGTAGGACTCCTTTTTTGGGAATGAGAACCATATTAGCACTTCCCACACTTCTGGGTATCGGCAGACCCAAGAAAAACTCTTGGACAGCAAGAACCACATCCTTCTTAATAATGTCCCAACAGCCTCTGTAAAAGGTTCCTCCAAAACCATCTGGACCAGGCGCAGACTCTTTACTCAAACTCCAAATAGCTTCTTTGATCTTCTCTTCTCCTGGTAGGTTACTTAGCATCTCATTATCTCCTTCATCAAGCAAGCATGGGATGTGTTTAAGCACCTTGTCCTGCGAGCAAGTAGCTTCTTCCTCGTAAATCTTAGTAAAAAAAGAGACGGCCTCAGTCGCAATATCTTTCCTATCATAAACCCACTCCCCATCAGTTCCTTTAATTGCAGTAATTTGTTGTCTTCTTACTTTTTCTTTTGCTTTCTCATGGAAGAAATTGGTGTTAGCATCACCATCCCAGATCCATTTTACATTAGCCTTTTGTCTCCAAAAGGCTTCCTTCTGTTTGGCACGCATTAGTAACTCAGCCTTCTTTTTAAAACACGTCAATCTAGTCTCTTCGTTCGGATTTTCCTCAGTCTTTTTCAGCTGCCAAAGCTTCCACCTCCAGCTTACTAGTTTCAGCAAAAATGTCTCCGAAAACTTCTTTCTTCCATTTTTTTAAGTCCACCTTCAAGGCTTTAAGCTTAGTCGAGAAACTCCTCATTCCACCACTGGTTGGATAAACCTCCCATTTGCTTCACACAAAAGACAAAAAATCCACATGTGAAAGCCACATATTTTGAAAACGAAATTGCTTCGGTCCCAATCTTCCTTCTTCTTCACACATAAGTAGGATAGGACAATGATCAGAACTAGATTTGCTCAAATGTTGAGTGGTTACAACTCCAAATTTAGAGTTAAAACCGTGATTGATCAAGTATCGATGAAGTTTTTCCCAAATACGACCGTTGGACCTCATCCATATCCATGTGTAAGTAGATCCCATAGTAGAGGGTTGAATCAAATCAGAGTTATCAATGCACTGGCTAAAATCCAACACCTCATTAAGCATAGGACCAGCAGGTCCTTTGTTTAAATACACGAATCTTATAAAAATAAAGAACTGGTTTTTAAATTACAACTTTTGCCTACCAAGGAGGGTGTTCATGAGTCACGAGGACTTTTCTTAATATTATAATAGTATGTATGAGATTATTGTTTTTAGAATAATATTATATTGGTAATTCATATATATAGTGCATATTATATTTTTATTAATGCTAAAATAAGTTAAAGTTAATTATCTATGCAATAAAGTCTTTTTAAAACGTAAGAAGTAAATGAATTATGTAATTTAATGTCAATAAACATTATATTTGGACTCACTTCATATCGTTTGTAAACTGTGTGACTAGTGTGTCTGGTATTTAATACCGTTTGTTATATATTTTACAAAATGAAGTACTAGTTATCAAATAAAGATAATTAAACATTACAAAACTAAGAATTTTTATATAATAAGTATCATAAATCTTAAACAATGAGTTGTTCTATTGTTTATTTATTTAAGTTATGTAAATTATCTTGGATGTTTCTTCTTTTAAATCTCCAAGTAAGTATTACATTATGTAAAACTATAAATCAATTTTGAAAATTAAAAGTTAAGGGAGACGAATGTAATCGAGTTTTTTTCCTTATTAATGCTAATTAATTAAATAATTACGGAATTAATGTTGGATTAAAACTTATTACCGATATACTGCTGGGATTAATCCCCGACCAGGGGTTAATCCCAGCAGTATATCGGTAATAAGTTTTAACCCAACATTAACTCCGTAATTATTCAATTAATTAGCATTAATACAGGAAAAACTCAATCTAATCAAAGTATGAAAATTTTAGGAAAATATTACATTTATTGTAGAAAATTTTGAAAGTCCAAAACTAAAAGGCCCCTTGCTAGGCTGTGTAGAGCCTCCGACCACCGGTTAAAGGCCGGGATATCCAGGTGCCTTGAGACGAGGTCCTTTGCTTAGTCATGTATGGAGATGTTAGGAGATTTCGCTCTGCATGAGAAGTGTGGCGGATGAGCACCCTCCACGGCAAAGAATGTGATTACCAATGTTAGGTGGAAGACAACTGTAGTTAGCTCACTATATGTCGCTGGATCACTGTGTGAAATAATGTGAAAACACAAAAAAGAGTAGGAGTAGGAAGTCTGTTAATAATACTCCATATATGCAACTGTAAAAATAGTATCAACCCAAAAGGTACTAGGAATAGAGGTTGTGAGAAGCATAGTCCAAGCAAATTCTAAAAGATGACGATGTTTGCGTTTGACAACATCGTTTTGTTGAGGAGTATGAGGACAAGATTTTTGAAAATAGATGTCATTTTCAGCAAAAAATTGTTGCATATCTCCTACTCCCTCCGTCCCCGTATAATTATCCCATTTTCCATTATTGGATGTCCCACCCAAACTGCTAAGATGAGAAACATGCCATGAATGAAAATTACATAAATAGCCCTGAGAAATAGCCCTGTGAAGGGTAAAATTGCAAAACATGAATTTATGATTACACTATGAACAGTTGAGCCGTAATTCACAATTAACCACTGCCAAAAAGTAAAAGTTATGCATGATCTACAGTAGAAAGTTGAATAGTATACATCATAAATAGTAGACTTGAACAGTAAAAAGGGAAATAGTGATGAAACTTAAGGCATCTTCAACATTTCAGCCAGCATGTCTGAAGTGTCTAATCCCGCTGACCTGTCTTGTGGCATGCATACACACATCTCCACAAAAATAAGGAGTACTAAATCTGAAAAAATAGAAAACAAATATCAGTTCACAATTCAGCCAGCCTATCCCTTGGGACACACGAATCTTCTTCAGGAAGGATTGTTCATTTTTTCCTATAAATACTACAAACCTCATTGCAAAACCACACTACTCAAACCTTCTACCTAGCAAGCCTGTTCTTGGGGGCATTTTCTTTTTGGGAAGATCATCCACTTCCCTATAAATACTACTCTTTCGGTCTTTCCAAATGAGTACCATTCAATTCAGCTTCAACCTCTTCTCTTTCTCTCTTCATTATCAGCCTGCAATAAGAAAGAGTATCATTCCAAGTAGTTCTCTTAATGAGAAATCTAAAGTACAATATTTTGCTTTAAATGAATATTGATTGATTGTTTGAAAATTGTTTAACTATCTAACATACATCGTTTGAATGCATTATTTATCTTTTCTTTTGATCATGTGAAAAATAAACATGAGATGTTAAGAGCAACAAAAGGTATAAATGCAACTACATGTGAGTGATATGTAAATCTATTATTTACTCTTAGTATTAGGATACACAAACAAATGGTGTACTACTTAGTCTTAATTTAATGATTGATATGTAGATGTTTCAAGTCAAGGATAAAGAAATATTGTTGATTGAATAATAAGATGTGTTTAAACTACAACTAAATCCACACCCATTGAGATCTATCTATATTATAAGTTGTGTTTCTTTGGTTGTATTAGTTGTACATGTATAGTTAACATTTGTCTTTAAAGTATAGCAGTCATATTATGCATTTACAAGTATAAGTCAAAGAAGAAAAAGTGTAGATCTACTGTAAGTTCTTTGATTTTACAAAGAAGCAAGCTTCTAAGCAGCAACGGGTCTCTCCACGGTCATACATAATGATATCTTTTAGCTCATGCAAAAACCAAACATAAGGCTTATATCCTATACTCATTTTTTTCACACTAATAGTACAATTGAATAAAAATAATTATAATTGTTTTTCTGCTGTATTTTATTAGTTTCATAAATTATAACTAATTAGTTTCATAGATTATAACTAATTATAGACACTGGAAATGGAAGGAATTGTCCTAAATTAATTACAGAAGAAGGTATTCCACCCTATACCTTGAAAAAACAACAAGTTTGTTGATTTCAAAAGATTACCATGTGAAGTCATATGTTGACAATAATGTGAACATAAACTAATTGAAGTTTAAACTGAAGTTAAATTGTTGAATCCATTTAATTTATTTATTGATTGTGTGGTTGAGGACATAAAAAAATTACATTGAAAAAGGCACACATAAAGAAACAAATTTACATTCAAATCAAGCTATTTTCAACGATTTCACTTAATTAATTAGAGAACTAAAATTCTAATTGTTTACGGATACCAAATGGTGATAGTTTTATCTAAGTTATAAAAGCAAAATAGATGAATGAACTATAAGAACATTCTTTACTTACATCACATGCCACATGCCCATCAAATGCTCTTATCACATGAAGATTATTACCATTTTCAAAAACAATAAAGAACCTGCAAGAAAAGTGAATAGATACCATGATATTTGTTAAAAGTTTCCTCTCCATATCACCATATATACGATCAGCTTAAAGGGAGAGTGGTTAAAATGAATGCAAGCTAGCAAAATGTTAAAATGCATTTGTTGCCTTTGGTTGTGGAAGTAGTAAGCTAGAATGAAATCAAATATCCAAATGAAATTAGCAAAATTTGGGAGATACTACGTATGAGATAATTTTAAATTGCCAAATCGATTGTGGACATCAAGTTAAAAGACGTAACAACTCTATATCATAAGCTCTTTCAACAGAATATCAATCCTTAAAAAAGCAGTAAATACAATTGTATTAACACTTCATAGAATACTCAGTATGTGGTATTACCACTTGCTTTAATTAAAATATAGTTACAACCATATAGGTATTTGATTGAGAAATACAACTATTTGTATGGCCTTTTAGAAGGATCTCAAGAGGCTTTGAAAACCCATAGGTTCAGTAAAAACAGTTTCCAATAATATAATGTGAATTGTGAACTATTTGTTGGAGTAGGGCATAATATAACCTACTTCGTAAGATTTTTACCTGAATAATTGAATTTGAGATTGTACAAATATAGTGTTGGGATAATAATCTTATACTACGCATCAAAATTATAATCGTCTTCATTTAGAAATCACCTTTGTCATATTCAACAAAATGGTGCTACAACAACAAGAAAAAAAGCTTCATGCAATTCGACAAAGAATTACATCTAGAGGGTTTGATGCCACTGTTAAGTTCGAAAATAAAGTACAAAAGAGACAAAAGAAAAGAGAAGCATATTTATCTTCCATCCCCAAAGCGAGCATCGCCGAGATAGGGAGAAGCAACACAGACTCGAAAGCTTAAATCCGGAATGAACACGTTCAAATTCCATCATACATCACAGACAACATAAGCGACCCATAGGCCCAATAGGCCCGGGAACCCCCGACCCATAGACTTCTACTATTCTAAAGGAGGCCCAATAGGCCCGGGAAGCACAGCAGGCCCAAATCACAGTGCCCCAAGTACTAAGCAACCCACGTGGTACACTAGGGATGCCTTCGGCCCCCTGGCCGAAGGCTCTAATTCTCACAGGATGGCCAACTCAAGCAAACAAAGTCACTGGGAGAAAACGGCGAAAATCAGTAGCCCTCGGCACCTAGAGCCCTCGGTATTTGGAGGTCCCCGGTACTCAGAGCCCTCGGCCAATCACCTGCAGCCGAGGGCACCTTTCTCGACATAATATCCTCTCCACATGCGCCTGAATCACCGTACCAAGTACGACGTCACATCCAACAACCGCATTAAATGCGGCCACATGCGACTGCCAGCGCCAACCAGTTGATGTGATCCCTCGGCCTTTGAATGCTTGACACGTATCCCTATCTGGCATTTATTACTACTATAAATAGCGCCCCTTTTCCCCATTTGTGATCCAAGCCAAATACGCTCACTACTTTCTCAGCAATATACTCTCTCTCTCTTACTTATGCTCTGACTTCTCTCTAGTTATTCCCCGCAATAACCCTTCATATACATACCCCCGGGTAGACTATCCATCATTTGGTGCTTTCATTGAGAGGTCGAATAATCAAGTAAGAAACCCTCCCCCTCGCCAAACACAAAACACCTAGCTAA